AGAGAGAGAGAGAGAGAGAGAGAGAGAGAGAGATTATTGCAAACACTATCCTTGTTAATTAACTAATACGCAATGCGGAGGATTAAACCCAGGCCCTCACACGTTAGACAACTGCTCCACTACTGTGCTACATTCCTGGCTCCTATTCCATTTTATATAAAGGAACTGAACATCCAGAATTTTGGTATCCATGGGTGAGGGTGGTGTACCAGAATCAGTTCTTTGTGCATATCCAGCCCAGCAATGCCTGTACTTGCTGAAAGGATGAAGAGATCTTCTCAATGAATGAGCAAATCTGACTTCTTCCTTCTTATTGTACGTACTTCAGTTTTTCTTGTAAGTGTTGCTGCCATGCCAGTTTTCATCATGGAAGCATGATTTGAGTCTTTTGTGGGGGTAATTTAAACATCATGATATTTCTAGCAGAATTTTTAAATGTTCTAATCTACCAACTGATCCACTTTCATAAAATAAGATATTGGCATGTTAGCAACAATCTATAGCTTTCCTTTTCCATGTTTCAAGAATTTACCTTTTATATACACAAAGACCGCAAAACCTGACAAAATGGCTAGCTTTTATCTTGCTTTAAGTGCTTTGTGTATTTTCCCCAAAGTAGAGGTGAAGAATTAAATATAGAGAAAAGAAATGAAAAACTGAAAAAATATTAAGCATTTGACAGATCATCTTACTGTATGTGTTCTCATGATTTTCTGAGTCTCTTTTACATTGGAAATCCTTAAGTACAAAGATGACAAAATATTTTTCTCTACATGTGGAACTAAGTGTAGAGAAAATGTTGGATTTGCCTAATAATTTTCAGAATTGTGCCCTTTCTTGTGATCCACCTCAGAAATGGAATGAAGTAAGCTGTTTTTTTTGTTTGTGGAATGTACCTCTGATGTTGCTGTTGCGTGAAAATATTTTTGGGATAAAAACAAACAAAAACAAAATCAAAATTACTACAATCACTTTATACTTTCTTTATAAAACCCCAGGATTTCCAAAATATCTTCTAAATCTTTGTGATTGCAAGGAAATGCTTTTGCTACATTGCAAAGGGGAATTTAAAATGAATTAAAAGCTTCCCTGAATTAAAACAGCTGAGGAGTTCATGGGGAGATAACGATAGAGTATGATAGACATTTGCTAATTTGTGAGGATGTGTCACAAATCCTGAATTAGGCTGCATGTCTTGCTCTTGGCTGATTTGGGTCGCTCTGGTCATGAGGGGAGGGTTGGTGTTCAGTCTAAAGATTGACTATATGGATTTTCAGAAGCTACAAGATGTGGAAAGAGCTTAGTTAATGTTAGGGTGAGAGGGCTGTCAGGCTGAATCCTGGCAGCGCTGCTGGCTAACCATGATCTGGGAAAAAAAAATCAGTAATATCTCAGATTCTTAGTTTACCCTCCTGCAAAATGGTGGTAACATTGATACCTATGTAGGTGGATTGTTTTGAGAACATGTACCTGGCTGGTTGTACTTCCTCAGTTATGAGTTACAGTCCCAGTAATCACCTGTCATCTTTCCATTTCTCCACCAGGTACCTTGGGATCACCAGGCCTCTCACATATCCTGTGCGGCAGAATGGGAAATGCATGGCAAAAATGATCCTCTCAGTCTGGCTTCTTTCAGCCTCCATCACTTTACCCCCACTCTTCGGATGGGCTCAGAATGTGAATGACGACAAGGTGTGCTTGATTAGCCAGGATTTTGGTTACACAATCTACTCCACTGCAGTGGCATTTTATATCCCCATGTCGGTCATGCTGTTCATGTACTACCAGATTTACAAAGCTGCCAGGAAGAGCGCTGCCAAACACAAGTTCCCCGGCTTCCCACGCGTGCAGCCAGAGAGTGTCATCTCCCTAAATGGCATGGTGAAGCTACAGAAGGAGGTGGAAGAGTGTGCGAACCTTTCCAGACTCCTCAAACACGAAAGGAAAAACATCTCCATCTTTAAGAGGGAGCAGAAAGCAGCTACCACCTTGGGCATCATTGTTGGGGCCTTCACTGTGTGCTGGCTGCCTTTTTTCCTCCTCTCGACAGCCAGGCCCTTCATCTGTGGCACTGCCTGCAGTTGCATCCCACTGTGGGTGGAGAGGACATGCCTGTGGCTGGGCTATGCAAACTCTCTCATTAACCCTTTTATATATGCCTTCTTCAACCGGGACCTGAGGACCACCTACCGCAGCCTGCTCCAGTGCCAGTACCGGAATATCAACCGGAAGCTCTCAGCTGCAGGCATGCACGAGGCCCTGAAGCTTGCCGAGAGGCCAGAGAGACCTGAATTTGTGCTGTAAGGTCATTTACCCCTATATTGCCTTTATCCCCAAACCATTTATGTAGCTTTGTGAAGTGCATCGCATAAAGCTTCCTGAGTTAGTTTATTTTCTATTAAGCGTATTAAATTCGAATTCAGAATAGTTTAGACTCCAGTCTTCCACCAGTAAAATTTCAAAATGCCAAGACAGAAACTTAGCTAGACTAGAAGACTAATTTGCTCATGAATTGCAATTGATGTGACTAATGATAAAGAAGGTGGTATTTTCCTTTCTTCATAAATCATAGCTCAATTATGTCTTCATGTCTACATTCATTTGACATCATCATTTTAGTGGCTATTATTCTTTTATCTGGTAAAACTTTTTGATGATCTACTTCACTGATAAATTCTTCTGTAGCAGGAAGCAAAGGTGATCTTTCCAGTATGGAATTACATTCACACAGGAGACGCCAGGATGGGGCATCATCTTATGAGTCACAGAAACTTTCGGGAAGTTCTGGCCACAGAGTTGTTGAGTTTGTCTGGGAGGCTTTTGTGATTTAGGGCATCAAGTTATGAAAAAGATCGCAAGGAGCTCATGGTGACAAGAGAAGTTTCACAAGTAGCCCATGTATTCACAAATTTGAATCGTAGAGTAGGAAAAAGAAAGGAGAGTAAAGCTATCAGGTCAAATGAAGATTTTGTTTTAAATTTAGCAAGATGATAATTCTTCATGCTGGAAAGCTGAGGGAAAAGAAACTTGGAGGAACAAAATGGAAGGAGTGCTGGAGAAGGCACGCAGAGAGTGTGGGGTGTGAGGGGAGGACGTTCCTCCTCCCTGAGCCTGGTGGGAAGAAACCGACTCTAGAGAAACAGAGAGCACTCCAGCCAAGAAGAGCCTTTCTACCCACTTTGTCCAGTTCCTTCACTTGACAAAAGTGATTACTGATACTTGGAGAGGTCACAACTAAGTCTGGATCCCACACCATCTAAACCCTAGTGTTACACTTCTTTATATATTCGGCTGCTTTTATCTTACAACTACAAGTTGTTGGGCTATAAATATGTTAATTCTTGAGGTGGGTGTAGCTTCACAGGTACTCGTTTTTACTTCTATTTATACATTGTTTTGTACATAGAAAATTATTCACAATATAAAAAGAGAATATTATTTTAGGTTGTAGAATATGTGCTAAGATTTGGAGATCATTCTAGGCCTGTACTGTTCTATTGAATTTACCACTCATATTTGCCAACCAGATTTTGAAATGCTTAATGGAAGAAGCTGAATCTTAGGTTTCTATTTGCAAAATCTGGTACAGTGCCTGACACATAGCTAATTAACAATGAAACTAATTGCTAAAATGAATGAACAGTGGATACACAGTATGCACTGTAATACTTGTAAAGAAGATGCTTCCAATATCCCCAGGTTTTAGAAGAAAAATTTGAGATTCAGGAACATAAATGACCTATGATCACATATATGTAGTATGAATCACCTCAGCACATATTCTCTAAGTGCTACTGAATGTCTAAGAGCTGGGATTTTAGCCGTTGTCTCTCTAAGAAGACAGAATTATTTACTGTTATAGAGTATTAAGAATTATATAGTATTATTTAAAGTAAGTTAAGCTTATTAGATTTACTGCATTAGGGGAAGACACCTCCTAGACAGAATCTTAGTAGTTTCATGGAGAAAACAAGAAAAGGAAATTGATAGAGTTTAGGGCTTGAGCTAGGTGGTTTTAAGGTAGAGTACTGGCAAGGCTTGGAAAGAGTTTATGATTCAATAGAGTTCGATTGTGAGTGCAGTAAGACGAAGGCTTTGAAGTAAGTATTAATGAACAAACTATTAGTCTTGATAAGTAAACTATTTTAGTTGGTGTATAGTCCCATCTCCTGGAGGCAGGTATTTCTTAGACTATATGGCTAGGTTATTTTGCCCGGACCTAGGATCATTTAGCACAGAAAAAGGAAAGCACGTTGGTTTCAGTTCCCATGAGTCACTGTGAAGAGGGGCGTGTTTGCAAAAAGTCTTTGTCAGTAGTGTGAAGGCCCGGCAAAAGGGCAAGACAGAGTGGCAGGGGTCCATTAAGCAGCCAAAGGAAGTGGGAGTACTGTCCTGAAATAGGAAACATCACTATCCTTACGTGCATTGTTTAGAGTCAAAGAATTTGAGAATGATTTTATTGATTATTGCAGCTAATAGTTCACAGTTCAGGTAACAAAATGATAATTCTTAAAGTGTAACATAAACAGGTTTTCCAGTTTAAAGTTAATAATAATAATAATAGCAGATTTACTAAGGATTTATTTTCAGACACTCTGCTGAGCATGCTATAGGAATTATATCACTTATTCCTGAAAACTTTATGATTCAATTTCTTCTTCTCCATTGTGAATAGAACAAAACAAGGGCTTCGAGAGACTGTGTAATTTTCCTAAAGTTATACAGATGAGAATAATAGAACTGAACTTGAGCCTAGGAAGTCTGAGTTCAAAAGTAATTTTAGCTTCCATACTACTTGCTCTATACAAAAGTAAAGCAGTAATGTAAAGTACAAGGATATTTGCATTTGTGTCTTTAACTGGTTGGCTTGGGTGTTGTTTGCTACTAGTCTAAGAAAACTCTTACTGTGAAGGGCCAAAAAGTAAATAATTTTTTTGCTAGCCATCAAAACTACTCTTCTCTATCTTTGATATCCACTTCAGTTAATAAATGCACATGACTGTATACCAATAAAACTTAAATTATAAAAGGAGAGAATGGCCAGAAGAATGGTTGAATTTGGCCCAGAAGCCATAGTTTGTTACTTTGTTTTAAGAGAATTACTATCCTCTTATTATATCTCTCTCAGTTTGAATCTATAATTGTAGGATATAAAATAATTTAGGAAAATTGGCATAAAAATCTATGAATTTTAGAAAATTTCTAGTGATAGAGCTGCTGTATGGAGTTGGAGAAATATGTTTTCACTAGCTCTATACTAAGCAGTGTTCTAGTTAGCACCAATATTGGAATATTTATTTTTCAATTCTTTTAAATATGATATCCATGCCCTGAAGTGGATACAGAAATTATGACACTTTTTCTGTTCTTGAACATGTATTTCTGTTGGACAGACCATAGAAACACATACATATGCTGCAATGGCCAAAACTTTTGTGTTCCTCTCAAATTCACATGTTGAAATCCAATCTCCAGTGCAATAGTATTGAAAGGTGGGGCTTTTCAGAGGTGATGAAGTCATGAGAGCTCTGCTTTCATGAATGGGATTAGTGACCTTGAAAAAAGATCCAAGGGAACTTGTTTGTGCCTTCTGGCACCTGAGGATATAACTAGAAGGCACTGTCTTGTGACCAAAAGAGTCAGCTCATACTAGCAACAAAATTTGATGGTACCTTCTAATAATTTTTGTTTACAAAGTACCTTGAGTGTAAACTTGCTAGCTTTTAGAAATAAAATCCTGTTGCTTGTAAGCCATCAACTTTATGCTATTTTGTTTCAGCATCCCAAATGGACCAAGACATATTCATTCAGCATTTTTTTAAGATAAGGAAATGTGGAGACTGGAAAAACTGTAAGATACAAAGGGGAGGAAAATAACTCAAAGCTTTCACTAATGCTGATCAGAGAAGACTTCCTGAAGGAAGACTTTCTTCCAAGTATGTCTCTGGAGGTGGTCAAAGAATGTATAGCCATAGATGAACAGAAATGGTAGTCCAGGTGAAGGGGACACTTTACTTAGAGGCATCAATATGAGAACCTAGGAAAGGGACAGTCTGGTGGAAGCTAAGCAGTGGGTTGAGGGGAGAGTTGCAGATCAGAGTAGAAAGATGGATGAAGCAACATTATAAAGGATTTTCTAGGCCTGCTCCAAGGATTTGGACTTTGAGTGTAGATATGTGCTTCTCAACCATCCATAAATTTTCCCTCTCTCCTGGAGACTTTTGACAATGTCTGGAGATGTTTTCGGTTGTTACAGTTGAGGTGTTCGGGGTAAGCTACTGGCATTGACTAGGTTGAGACCAGAGAAGCTGCTAAAGATCCTGCAATACACAGATCAGGCACCCACAACGAAGAATTACCCAACCCATAAGCTAAAGCTGAGAGACACTGATGCAGACAGTAGTAAACCATCTGTAAGTCTCTGCAACTAGAAGATAGAGTCATCAAAGTAATGACGACTGATTTAATGGCACTGCGTGGGATGAACAAGAGGTAGAGACTGGATGTTCCTTTACTAGTTTGTGTTTTCTAGAAACATTTGAGAACCTACTGTGTATAAAACTTGACACCAGATATAACAGGAATAAAAAGATGACCACATGATAGTCCTTGCCTCTAATAGCTCATATATATAGTGTGATTGAAAAATACAAATGTTTAAATTAAAAAGTTATTATAACAAAAGACATATTGCCATTATTCCTCCTCAAAATATTTGACCTCATTTTGAATACATTTTTCTCACAATTCTTGCCACTTTATGAAGCAGTTCTGGAAAATCCAGAATGTCATTCATTTCATGAATGTCATTAATTGCGCTATTGTGGTCACCTGGATGTCCTGACTTCATTTAAAACATTTACCTCCCATGACATCTTGACTTTGGGGAAGAGCTAGAAGCAGCATGGTGACAAGACCTGCTGAATAAGGTGGATGAGGATATGTCACCATGCTTTTATGGGCCTGCCTTTCCTTTGGATGATACTCAGCAGCAGCATTCACTATTTTTTTATCACACTTTGTAAAAACTTGAAAGTGGCTTTCTTGATTGGCTTCAGAAAATAAAAAGAATGGGATAAATGTGTTCAAAATGAGAAAGACTATTTTGAGAGGGATTAATTGGAATGTGTCTTTTACTGTAAGACTTTGAAAAATAAACACTCACTATATGTTTTGATCAGCTCTTATACTTCAGTGGGCTGGGTTCTGGTGAGGTAGTGTTGGGCTAGTAAAAGACTTGTAACCAAAATAAGAACTTCATGGTCCACAGTCTGTACAGCTGCATTAAATTAACCTTTAG